AAGTCGGATATGGTGTAACGGCTAACATTGCCGCCTCTCACCAGTGCGCGAGCGCGGCAGCTCGGGGTTCGATTCCCCGTATCCGAATTTACAGCCTAAGCTGTGTTTTTTTTTTTCTTTGGAACAAATGAACGAAGGAATCCTTGTTGCCAGTGTTCCACAAAGGTCTATTTAATTATTTTGCACGTTCGCCTTCCACGAAGATTATACTGCCTTGAGAGCAAGAACCCTCCCTCTTAAGCTTCCATCATCTATTCATTTCCGAACTACTTAACTTATTTGCTTTTGAAGGTTCAACCCATACGTCGAACATCTGACTTGACTTTGATTCCCATCGCAAACTACATGCATACATACTACCCGTGACGCTCTCCAGTGAGTACCTATCATATGATCCATCTGTATATCTATTTTCTCTTGCCTCTGAAACAGCGAAGCATTTCCAAGTAGAACTCCATAACATACGGACCCTCGGACCTGATGACGATAACGGTCAGACGATGACGCCACTGTCACTTCGTTTGTGAAGTGCAGTAAGTAAACCATAGCAACGATCATCACGACTACATATGTTATGATCATCTGGTTTCTCTCCAAGTATATCGAACTTTGGCGCCCATGACCATGTTTCCATCGTCAGGGGAGATTCTTAACTCTTGGCTCACCTTGGCCTCTTCGATGTCCTCCTGGATGATCAGGGACCAGGTGCAGATATCAAGCATTTTGGCTATGGGCTACCTACATTCAGGCCACAAGTCTGTCGGCTCCGTAAGTTAACGGTCTTTAACGGTCGTTCGTTCTGGAACTCCTGAGTACAGTAAGTATCTGTCATCCCCCTCATCGTTTGTGGTGGTGGTGTTACTATGGCTTCATGGAAAACTCCCGCCGAATTCCACTTACTTACTTATGTGGTAGATATCTCTAGGGATGTCTATCTGTCTGTAACCTAGTGATCAATTGTGGTGATGATAGCGGTGAGAAATGCAAATTTGCAATCGATACGCTGTATCATGGGTTCATTTCCTTTACACACGGATGAGTATGTA